ATGGAAAAGTACTTGGTTTTATTCTGAATCTTCATCATGGTTTCAGCCCTCAGTTACCCATCATAAATGCCATCATCGTCAACGACCACCGATGCAAAACCCTCAATCACAACCCCACATGCCAAGTCAAATGCCAATCTTCCTTAGGCAGTCGCCTGCACCTCACTCACAGGCGCCACCGCCCCCCTCACCATCAACGTCTTCTCGTCCTCCCCCGCCTCGAACCTCCTCAACATCTCGTCCGGATCGAACCTTGGCCCACGCGGGTCCTTCGCAAACTCCGCGCTCATCATGAACGCCACCGCGTCCTCGGGCTTCTCGTACGCGTCCACCTGCGTCTCGATCTTGTTCCCGTCGGGGTCACGGTAGTACATGCTCGTCGACATGCCGTGGTGCACGCAGTACGCCGGCTCGAAGCCCATCTCCTTGCGCGCGCGGTACGACGTCAGCAGCGCGCCGAGCGAGTCGAACGTCAGCGCGAAGTGGTCCATGCCGCAGCTGTTCTCGGGCCGCGGTGTCGCGGTCGCGTCTTGCAGGATCGCGAGGCGGTGGTGCTCGTGATCCCACGTCAGGAACGTGATGAGCTCCGAGCCGTGCACCACGCGCGCGTTGAGGAACTTGGTGTAGAAATCGACGAGCCGCTTGGCGTTGTTCGTGCGGAGGACGAGGTGGGCGAGTTCGGAGGGCCGGCTGACCCCTGACGGTGCGATGGCCATGGTTGTTGATATGGGATGAGAGATGTAATATGTGATCTCTAATAAGAATGACGGTTGGTTTGACGTCGTATGAGAGATGGAAACCACATGTAAGTCTGCTTAAGCTAGCAGATTAGAGTTGCGGGGGAGGTTCGCAGCTTATAAGCCCGCCATCTCACGCGTGGCGTTCAACAAACGGGACGAATCACGCCCCGGGACCGATTACGTTTCACGACATTCTTGTCTCACGCTGCACGAATTCATTCGTCCAATGTCTTCTAGGAGTTCTCTTACGTCCCGGCGCCGTTCTTTTCGGCCTCCGAGCCACGTAGATCTGCTCCTCCTGCGCTGTGCTGTCGGCTGCATGATCAGCCGCGTCGGACGTCCGCCCAGTGCACGACCCTAAAAGCTGGTGGCTGACTTGGAGTATTAGTTGATCTGGGAGGACGCACTGTTCAAAGCGGGCGTCGCTGCTGCCCAATCACTCCAGGTTCTGCGCGATGGATTGGTGCTGTTGCGACTCGAGCGCGTTTCTCTACCCCGGATTATGGGATGTTTTCTGAGGGCTCAGAGATGGGATGACGGGACCGAGCTCTCTGCGCGGCATTCGGGGATACACGGGCTCGCGAGGCCCGAGTTTCCGTTTGCCACGGCGGTCACTTACTCATTTACGACGTCTTTCAGGATATCAGTCGGCGTTTGTTGGGTTGGAGTTTCACGGTTCCCCATTTGGCTTCCAAGTTCCGAGTAATTACTTGCTGTGATGGACCCGACGACGTTGAGTGGATAACTCACGTCCAAGATTCGGTTTCGGGGAGTTAGGGGTGGTTCAGCCTACTGCAATGAGCTGCCAATATTACCTTTGTCACTGCGTCGTCAACGGGAAGTATACCGATTATAAGAATCTCTTCACTCCAACGGCGCTCGTCTCATAGGTTGCCTTTGTTTAACTTCAAGATTGATCAACGTGCGTGCAGCAACTTGCGAGTACACTCCCAATGCTAAACACACCAAGTAAGTCATCATAGTTTTCGTCCCGCTCACATGGGTGCCGCAAGTTTCCAAGCGCCGTTGGCGATTGATATATTCTCCGATTGTAGTATGTGGACGGGTACCACCTGCATCGTACTTCCCCCTAGATGATGGTGGCAAATATCTTTCAAGCCTTTGCCTTACCCTTCTACACAATATGGTCGGGATGTGACCGGAACAATACTGAGGATTAAGTGTCGTGATGATTAGTTATCTAAGTGTACACACAAAAAGGAGAAAGAAATGAAGAAGGCACGAAATGAACACCCGACCTGCGCTCGAAATTAAATCGCTGCTCTACCGCCTGCGATGCTTGGTATTATACCTCAAATGCAAACGACTGATCGGCGATTGTCGGGTAGAAGTTTCCTTGAGAGGAATATCCAAAAAGGAAATCGACCAAGGCATGAGTTGAACACGCGACCGGCATCTTGAACAGGGATGCTGCTCTACCACCTGAGCTACTTGATCTTGCACCCTAGATGAAAGACAACGACTGTGAACTTATTTATATGACTAAAAATGAGTGGTTCTGTCGCTGCCTGATTGACTTGGCTCCTGAAATATCTGGACACCACCTCATTTGTGCAGTGGATGTTGTCCTCTCAAAAGACATACCCCAAAAATGAACACGGCCAGGGCATGAGTTGAACACGCGACCTGTGAATCTAAGGTTACACTGCTCTACCACCTGAGCTACCTGGCCTTGTATGCGAGAGATGACACTGCATCTGATGTTTCTTCAATTTTGACAGATAATCAAAAGGAAGGACGGCCAGGGCATGAGTTGAACACGCGACCTGCGACCGGAACTAAGTTGCTGCTCTACCACCTGAGCTACCTGGCCTTGTAACTTGTATACGGTATTTTGGTTTCGAGAATTCAACTTCAAACGTGGTCTTGCTGATGTCCGATCTTCTTGGCCATGTTGGTTGTGGGTGGCCATGTTGGTTGCCGGTGGCTATGCTGCATATTGTTGGCGACTGCGCCATGGATGGCAAGTACCTCCGGCCCAAGACTACTTCTTGCGCTGTTATGCCCGAGACGAACCCGCCGCTCGGTAAACGCAATAACAAATCAACAACAATTTCTACAGGATAATCGTCGTCAGAGCCTTGCCAACGCTCCACGATGTGGCTCTGAGGGCCTGCATGCCATACTTATACGGTTACCGTACCCTAGATGAAATCATGAAAGGAAGTTGATCACCTTGCAGGAATTCTGCCCTGAAGTGACCAACATAGAGAAATGAGATTACAAGGCTCTCACCTTCCAACACCACGCTGTGACTTATCGAGCCATTCAAAGCCGAAGTCCCTCTCGCGTGGGTACGGGGATGGCATGGACCACCGTAAGCTGCAAGAGATGGTGGTGTGGTCAGCGCTCAAAGTTGACCAAACCTGCAGCTACGTATTAAGGAGTGCTTGTCCTTACTGGAATAGCAATTGGAGCTTTAGCAATCGAATTTCTAATCATCAAGGGGATATCCTTCCCATCAATTGTACTCAAAAACGCAGAGGTGTAGCAAGCTCGCACGCGTGAGAGAACACTCAGTTGCAGGGAAGACGTCTTTCGGACTTGGACTCCGAAGACGAACCACTGAGCAGCATCGAGTCATGCGCTGTTCTTCCCTACCATCTCGTCTGACCGGCACTCCAAATCCCAGCCATGATTTAAGAATTACCTTTTAGAGTTAAGCTAACAACGTCCCACCTGATGAATAATCCGGAAGAAAGCTCACAAGTTCGCCGCGGCAGAAGAAAAGGGACTTTGGTGAAGTCCAAAAGACCGTGCAGGAAACCGGCAAGCAAGCGTCTCATCTAGCGAGATTCTCACAATTTGTCGCCGGCAGGGGTCCAAATCCTTCTGCCTAGAGCAGTTTTAGCGGTCTCCAGTTGCGTCGCGACCCTATCAACTCCGCAAATTCCGCAAAAGAGACTGAGCATCTTTGCTGCCTTGGGCCCACGGCTTTGGGGCTGTCGGTGGAGCGGTCGCTGAATGTCATCATCTTCGCCTTTCAGCGGGAATGAACGATGAAATTTGGGACGGTCCCTCGTCCATTATCAGGCTCCCACGTTTTATGTTGAAGACGTCGTTGAGTGCATCAATGATCTCTCCTTCATGATCGCAGACAAGCTGCTTGATAGCAAGAGCTCGTGCAGCACTCATTCAGCCCTAACAATGGCCGTACACCCATCCCGGCTTATCGGGACAGTGATGTTGTGCTGCATCTCAGCCCCGGGTCTCCGTGGAGGCTTCGCCGGCTTCGTGTGACGCCGTGATTGCTCAGCTTGCCGCGCAGATTTTCGTTTTGTCCACCAAAAACGGGAACCAAGGAACCGGCCGCAGGGCAGTGGCTTAGCCTTCCAGCCAGGTCTCTCTGTGAGACGAGCTTGTTATCGACGGCGGCTATGGTAGCATCGCCAATAACACCCTAACGGGCAAAGGTAGTTTGAAGCTCATTGCCAAATCGAACGCAGTTTCATCACACCAGCGACCCTGTCATCTCAACTTGCAGGCAGCAGAAGCAGAGAACGCACGGCCCGTAACCCGGAATCGGTCAGTGTTCTGTCGACCGTTGACCGTGAGCCGGGTCCCCAATTGCACTTTAGTATCGTGCGTATTATCTACCCCTGGCTAGCGGGCGCCCGCTTGCGCCAAGGATGCTGGACTGGCAAGAAAGGTTTGGCGTATAAACCCTCATGCTATTGGTCGCCATTCCGGGTGCCTGAGAATCGATGGAGAGGAAAGAAAACCGTATTCTGCAAGGCTGGCGACTCTAGTCCGTTTGAGGCCATGTCTTTCGACATTTGTGCATGGATTCTAATTCGCCTGGGTGCAACACAGCATCATGAACCCCCGGTCGAGCCCCCAATTAGCTCAAAGACGGTCGTGCTCTTGGTGGGACAGGGCAGACTTTTGGCTCTTCCCACCAGCGGCCGATCGCGACAACAGCGGCCGACGGATCGCAGCCTGCGTCTTTCGAGACTGAGAGCCTGGCCGGGGGGCCCTGGGGTGCCATTGCATGTTATATGAGACCTTGTACCCCCCAAAACCAATACCGTGGCGTCGTGAAATCCTACGCCAAGGTTGCGCTTCCTTCTCGTGTTGCTCGTTGTCGGCTTTAAACCACGTTGTTCTCTGATCCGTCCGACTGTTCCTGAGATCCGAACCCTTTCCCTTTTCTTCCAGGTGTGTGGTCTTACCCAGGCGATAAAGAAAAAAAAAAGAAGAAGCGACGAGGTCGTCAATCAAAAAGAACACTCGCCAACAATGGCCACATCAGGACCGACGAGCTCTCCGGAGGGCCACCCAGCCTCGCTGGCACCCAACATCACCTCCGCACGAACATCATCCGACGACTCTCGCGACCCGAAGTACCAAGCAGGACTGATGCCGGCCGAGTACGCGGGCCTGGAGGTGGCCAACAACGACGACAGGCATTACCAGACTGCGGCACCTGGCGGACCAGGATACTACGTGCCGTACCAAGACAACGTCAAGCCCCCATCGGGATACGACCAACAACCGTACCAACAACAGCAGCCGTACCCACAATCGGCACCGACACCATCGGCGTACGGCGGAGACTATGCGGCAGCTCCGCCTCCGGGGAAGGGAGAGAAGCGGGTATGCGGCATCCGGGCGGCGACGTTTTGGATGGGGTTGCTGGCGTTGATATTCCTTCTCGGCACAATTGGCGCGTCGGCGGCTGCTGGTACAATTGCTCAGCAGTATGCAGGATACATCCAAACATGCGACGCGTAAGTTCATACTCACTGTTTGTTCTCCATCTTACTGAACACCATCACTGACTCATCTCAAAGTAAGCTGGAACAATCAGCAACACAAGCATCAGCTTCAGCAGCAGCGTCAAACTCCGCGGCAACAGCCTCAGCGTCTGCATCAAACACTGCCTCTGGAACCGCCTCAGCAACGGCAGCAGCAGCATCCGCCACAGCAACCGGCTTCACATCGATTCCCCTGCCCCAACAAGCCTCCTCGATCTTCGGCGAGGCTACCTCAAACTGCCCGAACCTGTCTGCCGAGAATAAGACGTACTCTGTCCCCGGGAGCAACCTGAAGTTTGTCCGCGAATGTGGCAAGAACTATCCTTTCAACGACTTGGGATACATCCCATTGACTAGGATGGAGGACTGCATGAACCTGTGTGCTGCATTGAGCGTTACGACGCAGAGTGCCGACGGACCGTGCATCGGCGTCGCCTGGGTCACTGCCGGCAAGCAGGGTACGGACCAGAACTACTGCTGGTTGAAGAGTGCGAAGGGATCGCCGGACCCGAAGGCCAATGTTGAGGCTGCTTGGCTGTCTTTGTCATGATGTGCCAACAAGAGACAGGGGTGTTGCTGTGGTTGATAAACCTGCGATGAGGGAGATGAGACGAAATGAGATCGGGCTGAGAATAAAAGGCTCTGGCGACGTTAATTGTTTATTATACCACTGAAGCATGTTCATAGCCAGGCATCTATGTTTTATGTTGCTTTTACCTTAATGCCAATCAAACTTTTCCAACACTTTGTCTTCGATACCTACTATTTAACAGTCATAGCAATACACATGGCCTCATTCGCATCAAGATGCATGAGTGCCTTTCTCTCGCTGCCCTCGTGAGCTAACACAAAGAGATGTTGATTGCAGCCAAGAGCCATCGAACAGGCAGACTAATTTCTTCCACAGTCTACTTGCGATACCACATCCTGGTCACCTTCGCCTTCTGAATCTTCCTCTGCAATCGGAAGATACCGTATAGCAATGCCTCTGCCGTCGGTGGGCACCCAGGGACGTATATGTCAACAGGCAAAATCCTGTCCACGCCCCTCACTACGCTGTAGCTGTAATAATAGTATCCGCCGCCATTCGCACAGCTACCCATACTAATCACCCACTTCGGATCCGGCATCTGGTCGTAACACTGCCGCACAGCCGAAGCCATCTTATTCGTAACGGTCCCGGCGACAATCATGACGTCCGACTGGCGCGGAGAAGCGCGGAAAATGATGCCCAGGCGGTCCATGTCGTAGCGGGGCATGGAGGAGTGCATCATCTCGATGCCGCAGCAGGCGAGGGCGAATGTCAGGGGCCACATGGAACCATTGCGTGTCCAGGCGACGAGCTGATCGAAGGTGGTACTGTGACACGGCTACATCAGCAACATGTATCGGAAAGTGGCTCGAATGGAGTCGTACAGGACATGTTCAACTACGCTTGTTGGTCGCTGTTCGGCGGAGAGACCGAGAGGAGAAGAAGGTGGCGTGCGAGCAGTAGCACTCTTGGATTGGAAGCGAAGGCTCTCATGATTGTGATTGCGGCTTGGGTAGAAAATGATAGGTCGATGCCGTGCGAAGGTGTTGAGGCAGTTGCGTACGCCCCCGAGACGGACTGTTGGATTTAGTATGTGTAAGCGGGATGTGATTTATGGATATGCTCACCTTTTGACGGTAACATTGTAGCCATTCCTGTGGATAAGATAAGTGAGGATGTATTCTGAAAAGATTTAAAACTGTGAAGAAAAGAATTAAGAGGTTTTGAGCAATGTTGCCCAAGAACGCTGACTTCTGACGTCGTGCCGGGAAATTCACACATCGAGGGTCGCAGAAGAGAAAGACACCCCAGTCCGATTAGGTGGCGCATATCCCAGCGTCCATCTCCTGACTCCTCAACATCGATGCCAAATTTGTATCGAATTTTTTCCTCGAACTTTTCAGTAGTCTTACCTATCAATTGAAACGAGTTTCTACTGTCTTCTCGTGATGATCTGAAGTCAGAACTGGGCTAGCATGTTCAAGACTCTGAATTGGGCTTTACCGTAATAGGCAGTGGGGTAAGTGGTTCCAGCCACGGGAAAAACACTCATTGTCTTCGCCCTCCAACGTCCCCTTGTCGCATCTGTCATCACACCACGCCTAGCAGAACAACAGCCCGGCACTCTTTGAAATCCACGCTCAAGGCTTTGGTTTTACTTAGTATCTGGAAAGGTACAGAATCATGGCGGGCGCCGGTCCAATCACCGAGACCGCTGGGTCCATGTCTCCAAGGCCCGCAGACTGTCCGGTCTGCCACCTCCCCATCGCCACACCAGCAAAGCTTTCCGGGCTACACGCCTGTCCCTTTTGCGGGAAAACCTTCAAACGAGTCGATGGCGCTCGTAGACACGCCAAATCCTGTCACAAGCGAGGTAATCAGCCATTGCCTGCAGATGCCAAGCGAGGCCGGAAGCTTCGGGCCTGCGATCGATGTTCCCGCATCAAATCTCAATGCGATGGGAAACTCCCTTGCGGTCATTGCAAAGCGCGGAAGCTTGAATGCACGTTCGAACGCTTCTGCAGCGATGACTCTCACAGAAAAAAGGCCCCAGGGGCCCAAGTTGCTGATACGCAACAGCCGCAGCTGTCGTTCTTCCTCAACTTCACGGGTCCACGAGGGGGCCAGGCGATTGAGCAGGAGATGGCCGCCGTGCCAGAAGTCGACATTCAAGGTCCTTTCACCGACAAAACTCCCGGTCCAAGCGTAATACCCGAATATGACGACTGCATCGATCCGTCACTTCTTTTCACAACCCTTTTGGACCCAGGTTTCGACGTGGACCCGACGGAGGCGGCACCTGCGGACGTGTTTGGGTACTCCGAGTACAATGCTTCTGGCGGCCTGAACATGCCATCGTCCACCGACGCACTTGCCGTACGAATCGCTCAACTTCATGAAGAACTGCTGCAAGTTGCTTCGTTGGATTTGGAACTTAGTTGCTTTGACCCCATGTCATTCAACGAGGTCTTCTCCGGTGACCAGGTTCATACGTTCTGCAAAGCGTTCTCCCGGAAGCGGCATTATCAATACCCAGTCGTACATTGGCCAACCTTCAACCTCGAAACAACTTCCTTGCCTTTGCTGTTGGCGATATCTCTCAACGGCGCGGCCTACTCCAACTATTCTTCTCATGTCGCCGGGAGCAGAGCGAAGGCACAAGACTTCTATCTCATTGCAGACGCATACATCTTTCAACAACTAGAACGCTCCATCAACAGCAATCTCCGAGAGGCTGAATTTGAGGCCACCGTCGAGATACTTCAAGCTGCGTTGCTGATCGTAGTCTTGCAGATATGTTTTGACGAGAGTCGAAAGGGAGTAATAATCTTCAAGCGTCTCCCGCTACTAGTATTTTCCCTCCGGCACTTTGGACTCACTAGGATGAAACACGACGATGAGGAAGACTGGAGAACTTTCATCCGACAAGAGACGCTGATTCGTCTTTCCACGTGGACATTCTTTATGGACAGTCTGTTGACCTTGCTCTGCAACAGGCCACCGTCAATGTCGCATGCTGAGACGCTCGGGCATCTTCCATGTAATCAGGCTTTATGGGATGCGGAATCCGAAGAAACCTTCATTCAGCTAAGGCTTGAGACTGGACACGAATTCGTCTGTTTAGGAGATTTGACAGTTGGGCTGATGCAAAATGAGTGGCCGATTGAGCCAGTGCCCCCGTTTGATCGACTCACCCTTCATCACCTAAATGCGGTCATTGTTGGTGAGTTTGCAGAAGATTCTGGTGTAGGTTTAGGCTGACCTGATGAACTCCTAGCCTTACAACCGATTATCTTCAATTTGCATACATTTCCGCTGCATGACATAAGAGGGATCAATTTGCTTCGGGCTCTCGATCGGTGGACGACACTCTGGAACGCTGCAGCCCATCATAAACAGCCTGGATCTCTAGGCGTTGAACGGAACAGCCCCGGTCTAGCACTGTTATCAAGAAAAATCATTGAAGTCACTGGCACCGATACGGCTGGGCAATGCGAGTATCTGCAACGCGTCCCGAAGCACGACTTCTCAGATCTTCACCGCTTTATCAGAGAATACTGCTAGTGAATGGCTCTACGGTATGTGTGGACTCATGGATCGCCCCGGGAGCTTCCATAACCGTCACAAGTTCTTTACATTCATATGATACTCACTTTAATGCCAATCAGATAATTCCATCCACTCATATTCGGTTCCGGACTGTTGGTGGCGGACCTTCGCGGCCCCCGTTGTAGATTCGACCGATTTTCGGCCGAAGTTAAGAACCGCGAGACTTGCGACGATCCACGACGCTAAGCTTCGGCCGAAATACCGTGACGTACTGATTTCATAAAGTGCCCAAAAAAAGTCTCGATGAAACTTGCGGGCATCTATTTAACCAGTCTCGCCGGCTGGACATTGTATCCGCAGGAGTCATCACGCATCCACAGGGAACAAAACGAAGCCATGGCCAACAAGATCAGGGTCGCCATAGCCGGCGCAACTGGGAACACGGGTTCCTCAATCGTGAATGCGCTGTTGAAGTCACCAGAGCTATTCGTAACTTACCTCCCCTAGAAGTTCCCAACTGCGCTTGGCCGACCTTCGACTCACTCCGCGGCAGGATATCACTGCTCTAGCGAGACCCGCCTCAGTTGGAAAACTGGAACTCGTTGAATTCGCAAAACAAGGCGTCGCTGTGAAGTCAATTGAGCTGAATGGGCCAATTGACGCAATTTCTGGCACTCTCGCAAACATGGACGTGGTCATCTCGTGCTTGACCTTGCTCCAGTTCAACGAGGAGATGAATCTCATTGAAGCGTCGAGCAAGGCCAACGTCGGTCGGTACATACCAAGCTTCTGGGGCCCAGCCTGCGAGCCACGAGGCGTCATGAGGATTAGGGAAATGGTGAGTTCGGGTCGCCGCAATTTCCTCCACTTAAGTGGGAACAAGGGAACCCGAGCCTTTTGCTAATCAATGCATTATCACCACAGAAAGAGGACTTTTTAGACCGTATCAAAAGCCTCAATCTCCCTTACACCATCATTGACGTTGGCTGGTGGTATCAGCTGACCTTGCCTGCTCTGCCGTCAGGGAGATTTCGGCCAGCTGCGGAAGAGTACTCTACCACCCGCATTATTGGAGACGGCAATGTTCCTTGGGCCCTCACCGACAACCGCGATATTGGGAAGTTTGTCTCTAGAATCATCGCCGACCGGAGCACTTTGAACAAGATGGTCTTCGCCTACGGAGAGGTTATAACACAGAACGCTGCCTTCGAGCTTCTTGAGAGGGTATCCGGAGAGACTGCCCGCCGACAATTTGTAGGTCCATCAAGTTTTCATCCGGCTTGAAGATTAGGGACTAACAAGACAATTCAGATAACCAAGGAAGAGTTGCAAGATATCATCACCCAAGGCCGCGCAAAGTCTGGCGAGGAGAACATCAAGGATGTGACGATTCTGCTCAACATCGCCATGGCAGAGTATCGGAATGTTCTCGGCATCCGAGGCGACAATACTCCCGAAAAGGCACGAAGCCTTGGATATCTTGATGCACGAGATTTGTATCCCGACGTGGAGGTCACTACCCTTGAGAACTACATCAGAGGTCTTGTACGCTGAGGGGCATGCTAGCATAGGTAGATTGAAAAGAAAATTTACTGGCGATCCAACCCTTTTGGTACTTACTGGTTCAAATTTCCACCTTTTGGAAGCTCAAAAGAAGCTGAGGCGGTTGGATCAACCCTTATGTGCCAGCTTACTTAGACTTGCGAGACGAAAGTCGGCCGGGCCCGGATACCCGGGCCTCCGGCCCGAACCCCGTCTTTACATAGGAGGGATCATCCACACCACTTTGTAGCCAGCTGCGCCCGACTCTTGTAGCCCAGATGAATCCAGGCCTTCAAACAAGACTGAAGTTGCCATGGGCACGTGACGCCACACGTCACTACATGTACCTTCTCCAGGCAGCAGCCAGTTGCCAATCCAAGCATCCTACATCCCACACTTGTTGCAAAAGCCCTCACCTGATCCACCCGAAGACCTCTCTCAGTTTGCCTTGAACAGAATTATATTTTGGCGCATTTCCTTCATTTTAATTCTCACCCAGCTTTGCGTTTCCCGTTCATCTGGTAATACAACAAACGTCGGCCAACATTGCTTTGTAACTAATCGCACCTACGCTTGCCTTCTCCGCCATGGACACATGCTCGGTAATTAAGTCTTCTGCTTTGGCGCATTCAGACGATAATAAGCGGCGGATGCCCTCAGGGTCGGACGTCGGTTTCGCCAAAGTAAGTGTCCGGTCTGCGTTTAATGTTGGCATTGTCTATAGTACCTCAACAACTCACACCCCGACAATACTGACAACACGCCTAGAGACCCAGGCTGGAGGAATGTGTTCCGCAACTCTCATTCCTGTAAGTTAGCCAAGACATCTCCATACCACACAATGCTGACCTTCTGTAGGTCACTATCGCCGAGATCAGAAACATGATTTATCGTCATCTCGGGCTTTTCGAAACCCACAATATCAGAATCGTGGGGAGAGGCATCAACGTCCATTACGAGCCCACTTTCAACTTCCAACTGCAGAGACATAGGTTTCGGGGGGCTCTACATCCACGGTGTACCACCAAGTTCGATACGGCAATCGCATCAACGTGTAGACTGATACATCAAGAAACCAGAGCCGTATTATATGGGAGATTATTCTTCCTCCCAAGGATGGAAGATGCCGCTTCGTGGCTGTTGAATATTGGCCCACAAAACAGAGCCTTGTTACGAGGCATACGGCTGACGACCCGCGTCAAAGACACCCACCCAGCGTGCTCCTACGACTACGTCGCTACCGATCGTGATCGATACAGACAGGTATCAAAGCTCGTATCCGGTCTACTCGCCAATTCATCAGGGCTCGAATGCCTGGGTTTTCAATATCTATTCAATCCTAGCAACCCACCCATTCTTTCCCACGCGCGCGAGGAGTGGATCAATAAGGCGTACAAAATAGCTGAAGAGCTTTACGTGGATTTCCAGTCCTTCTTTGCGGAAGCCCTTGCCCGTGGGAGAAGACCCTCACAAATGTGCGACATTGTCCACATCAACTGGGAGATCTTCCAGGACAGAGAGTGGATGTCGTTGGAAAATGAGGATTACCGTTTGAAGGATAGCCAGACCATTGATGCAATCAATACGTTCGGAGATCACTTGAATCGGCTGCTTGAATTGCACTCCAAAGGTCTAGGCCATCCTTCTCCAAGCTCTTCTTCGCTTTCCAGTGTCAAAGTTGGGATGAATATTTGCAGGTAGGTTGCATTATGACATCACCTAAGCATACGGCTGACGAAGCCTGTACAACAACAGGTATTTGGAACAGAGCACCGTCATGTCCTGCGAAGCTGGTCAGACATCAATCCCACATCGCAACCTCACCAGAAATCTCAGACGACGGTGTTCGAGAAGAAGAACTACATCAAACACACAAAGCTTGAATGAGGAATGAGAGATTTTAACTTCCCAGATGAGTCACGTTACATGAACACTGTACATGGATGTCTCAAGTTTATCCAGAGAAGGCTCAAGACTAGAACGACGCGCGAAAGCATAAACTCGAACTACTGGTCGGAGCTTCGAAGCCACAAGATTTGACGACACGATCACTTTCCCAAAGCGCAGAATAAGGTTCTCAATGACAAACGGTTATCAATTTGAGCGTAAATGATTCGACATCCATAGAAATTTGAAAGTTGTCCAAAATGGCGCGCGAGTAGAATAAATACAAAAGAAAATGAATCGTGTCCTGAGAATGCGTACTCCGCTGCCCGATGTAGAATGAAACGCACGGAAGTCCAGTCCCCAAGCAAATGAGCAATATGAAAATCAACCTAGTTGGTGACGGTCTGCTTGGCCGATCCAGCACCGTTCCAAGTCTCAACGGCGATGACCTGGAAATTCAGCGTGCCAAGGTTCATGCCGTGGCTTTTCCAGGCATTGAAGTGGTTAGCAATAGAGACAGTGCCGCTAGAGAGGCCGCCGTTGCGGACCGAGATGTACTGATTGAAGGTCTGGGTGCCTTGGATAGAAGGGGCGTTGGTGCGGACGTTCTCCCAAATGGTGTATGAGCCGCCGTCGCTGCTCACGGTGCCCTTCTGCGTCCCGGTCTGCGAGAAGCCGGCAGAGTCCTCAATGACGTAGTATTCGACAAGGGGGTTGGTAGTCCAGCCGTAGACGGAAAGGGTGGCAAGTCCCTTGGTGACGGCGAATGAGCCCGAGTGGGTGATGGGGGCAGTGGAACCGGGGTTCCAGCCAACGCCAACAACGAAGTCGTCGGCGGTGTCAAAGTTGAGGGTGAAGCTATTGCCTGAGGGAGTAACCTTGACCGTGCCGCCGGTCTGGTAGTTCTGAACGTAGTTGGTGCACTCCTCCAGGGTCGTGCCACGTCTCTCAAGGGATTCATTGCGGCGTGCGAGCATGAGAGGGTGGTCAGGTCCTAAGAAGAAGTCGGATAGGCCGCGGCGCTCCATATGAGGAGGCAACAGCTCAACCGGCCCAATGGCGGGGGCAGCAAGGCACGGGGCGATAGCCGAGAAGGCCAAGACAAAAGAACGAACGGAAACCATTTTGACAATGAAGGACAGGATTAGGCGACTTGAATGTTGGTTTCCTTCGAACTGCCAAGAGTCCGGCATTAGGCTTAGGCAAACCCCAGCTGTTTATACAATTTTCTTGGCATCTGGAGATCTCATCATCTCAATCTGCGGGTCAGAGCGATTCCGCTTCGGTAGGGGCAAACACCTCCAACGTTCGTCTTCAATCTCGACGAAACATTCTCTCTTCCGTGCTGAATAGGTCTAGGCAGAACCGGAAGAGTGCACCCCTTGCACGGATGAGGAGACGCGGATAAAAACAACGATGGTGCGATTCCACTAGCCAAATCACATCGACGAAGTAAGACCTAGACTCACGCTTTCGGAAGGCCATGTCTCTTTGAGCTATCGGCTTTACAGGGTTCCAGATAAGACATCGAACTTTCTGCCGCCTCCTCAGCCCGGTCACAGTCAATCCATCGGTAGAGTCACGCGTTTCCATTCAATTTCAGTATCCGTTAATATCCCATACTCAGTTAGAAAAGGAAGGCAAAATTCGCGTTATCAAACGTAAGCATTACGGGCCCCGTATTTGGCATCGGTATCATTCGCCATACTGCCCTTCTTAAATGAACGTCCATTAAGCTCTCGTCTCCAGATTTGTTCAAATTCAATATCTTTCATTGACAAAAGTTTCAAATAGTTCGTACAAGGTTTTAGGCTGGTTCCCTATTCAGCAAGCCCGCCCAGTGCCTACATCAGACATAAAATAAGCCTGGACTTTCAACCAGGCAAAGCCAAAGACCAATGCGACGACTGAACTGTATAGCATGACTCTGTCCCAATCTTGAACGCAAAACAACGCTATCGTAGTACATCTTGGGCTGTACCTAGCATGCGGAGCATCATTCTGTCTTCTTGCAAGAACACCATCGTCCTGAGGAGCGTACCGCCTCCAACGCTTTTCTTTAGTCTGGGAGTTCGGGTGTAGTCTGTCCTTTCGTCGAGCCGGAACTATGCAGAGTTTGGAAAAATCTTTCTGGACGTACAAAACAATGGAAATTGCAGAAAGGCCTCTCCGAACTGGCGTCAGCTTGGCCACGAGAGAGAATCTGGGAGGCAAAGGTCTAGGAAATCTGCAGTGACGAAGACGAGACGAAATGGAGAGTTGTGGTTTTGGGCTACGTTGTAGTTCGCAGGCTATCGAAAACCAGATGTTCGGCAAGTTGTTACCGTGTTCTCTTCCGTGCCAGAGACACGTCACTGGGGCTTCGTATCCAGCCAGATCGACAACGTCAAAATGAATCCACGAACCCAGGGTACAGTAGCGTGGCATGTAGACATCAAGTCCATTGCTGAAGAAAAGCTGGAGTGTTTCAAGATGTCTTGGCTGTCGAAAGTACGGGCCAAGCTCTTTTGATGTATCAAGAGGACTAAATGTCCAAGCTAAAGACCTGTTGCCTGGATACTTCATCATTCCGGTGATGAGGGCGAAAAGGGCGTTTTGGAAGAAACCGCCTTGTATAGCATTGACATCGACCTTCGTCCTTTCTAGGATCAGGCGACAGGTATCGAGCTGCCCGTGAAAGGCGGCTGAAGCCAACGCACTCCCTACCCCAACATTTGTGACGAGAGCCGGCTCTGCTCCAGCATCCATTACAACGCACAACAACGAAGGATCACCCTTTGCAGCGGCCAATGCCAATGTGGTGGCAAACGGAGACATCTGCAGAATCTGATTGACGTTCGCTCCGGCGTTGATAAGCCGTTTGATGACGCCCATTCTGGTGGGATACGATCCCACGAACATAAAAAGAAGGTCGGACTCTCCGTCGTTTGCATTGATATCAAAGCATCTGGAAAGAAGCAGATCGAACATTCCTGGGTCCTTGCAACAGGAAGGCCACGCAGTTCTCAGTACTATTTCTCGATCAACCTTCGATGCAAGCTGGACGCTTGCACCTAATCTCAACAGAGTTCGAACTCGAGGCATGCCCTGATGGCGTACGGCGTGCATTAGAGACGATTTTCCAT